GATGCAATTTGCGCCGATTGAATGCTTTATTTAGTGTATCATAAATTACCAATAACACCTGAAACAGTTGAGTTTGTGTGTTACTGCACAAAAATTAACGGCATTATGTATGGAACTTTCGATGTTACTATGATGCAACCACAGGCGACGAATCAAAGCTCGCCCTGTACCCCTTTCTAATAACTGGTCAACGCACGGGCTGCCCGCGCGAAGATGCGTTTTTTGCATTGTTCCCCGCAGTTTTTGTTGCTACCGGCACCGGCTTTTTCAGCAAATGCTTCTAGCCAAACAAATTAAGACTGGCCGCCAGAACTGCCAAAAAACACCACCTTAAAATTTCAGCTTTCTAGCTTCCCTGTGTTAGCAACCTACTGGAAAAAAGTTTTTACGGACCCGTGCGTGTTTGCCACGCGTACCCGAGAGTTAGGTTTGAGCTGAATGAAACTTAGGTCGACAGGGTATATCCTCAGAAAATTACAGTCCTTTAGCTTCTCAGGTACTCGAGTTACCAACTTACCGAGAAACATTTGGTGAGCCCGTACGCGGGTACCACACTTACTCAAGGGCTGGATTTGAGCTCACTGATACCCACTTGGACAGGGAACATCCCCTTAAGATTTCAGCTTTCCAGCTTCTCAGATCCCCGAGTTATGGACTTAAGAGAAAAATTTGGCTGGCCCGTACGCGGGAACCACAATTTCCCGGGGACTGGGTTTGAGCTCACTACTGCCCACTTCGACAGGGAACATTCCGCTAAGATTTCAACTTTCTAGCTTCTCAGATTCCCGAGTTATGGACTTACCCGAAAAAAATTTTGGCGGGCCCGCACACGGGTACCACGCTTACTCGGGGGCTGGGTTTGAGCTCACTAATGCCTACTTGGGCAGGGAACATACCCGTAAGATTTCAGCTTTCTAGCTTCTCAGATCCTCGAGTTATGGATTTACCCAAAAAAATTTTGGCGGGACCGTACGCGGGTACCACACTTACCCGAGGGCTGGGTTTGAGCTGACTAATGCCCGTTTGGACAGGGGATACCCCCCTAAGATTTCAGCTTTCTTCTCAGACCCCCGAATTATGGACTTACTGGAAAAAAATTTTGGTGGGCCGTACGCGGGTACCACACTTACCCGGGGGTTGGGTTTGAGGTCACTAATACTCATTTGGACAGGGAATATCCCCCTGAGATTTCAGCTTTCTAGCTTCTCAGATCCCCGAGTTATGGACTTACCCGAAAAAATTTTGACGACCCCGTACGCGGGTGCCACGCGGGTAATGGCGCTCATTTTGGGGATTGAGGCCCGTACGTGCATGTAGACTAAGGTCCCAAAGTTTCAGCCCTGTAGCTTTTGTAAGTCTTGAGATGGAAAATCGTGAGAGGCGCACACACGGATACACACGGACACACACACCTACACACATACACACACACACACACACAGACAACCCCTCGTCAATATGCGTTTTCTGCATTGCATAGCTGCAAAAAACGCATAATAAAAATTAGGAGTCTAAATATCCCACAGCTTTTCATGCTGTTCATAATTACAAGTCAAAAATTCTTCAGTTTTTCACTTTGTTCAGGATTAAGGATCAAAGCTCCTTCAAGTATCCCGCCTCTATAAAAAAAGGACAGGAATCGAACCTTCCTCCATACTTTTTTTTTAAAAATTTTTCAAAGTTCCTCGATATTTCGTTCTCTATGAAAGGCAAAGGCACTTGCAACTAGCTCCAGCAGTGGTAGCGCATTGCCAATAGGAACCAGATCTGACTAGTAATTAGCATTTTAGGTATTTGAGAGTGATTAACCTTAGAGGCTGCAATAAGAATGGAGAAGAGTGCCTGGTTTATAAATAAATTACCACTGATACGCGATGAATTCAAATCTGTTGCATAGCCACATAATGATGCCGTAAACCACATCAACCATAACACAAACAGCCTGAATTCACTGTCTGTGTGAATAAAATTCCTATTTTCCCTCTTCATTTAAGAATAGAAGCACAGTTACGATTTTTCGATAAATGGAAGGGGCACATCCCCTTTTGTCTTCCTATTTCAACTGAGGACAAAGATGGTATCAAGGTTTTTCAAAAAAAAAATGACACATATTTTCCCTTATTGCTTGAAAAGAGGAGCACAACTGGGATTATTTGACAAAGGAAGGCATATTTTTTTGCAAATTTTATCACTTTTTTCGAAGAATATACTAGTAAGTACTTTTGGTTAGTAAACACTTTTATGAACAAAAATACTACAAGCACATATGACTTAACTGACCGAAATATTCTCCCTCTCTGCCTTACTAATATTTATAAGTGATCCTGAAGTTTGTTTCGACTAAGATTAAAATGAGGAACAACAATGAAAGAAAATATTCCACATACCTTTTAGCATATTGAGATTGTCGGATAACG